AGATTTGAACCCGGGACCTTCGGTCATTGTGTTCAAGACACTACCTCTAGTTTACGGGTTCTCTGCTTTGTCGGTAATTAGTCATATATCCTGAAAATGGATCGTTATGTTCCGGGCTAATTCAGTTGGTAATTCACCCTCTGTAAGCAACAGGGACACCAGGTTGACTTTAACGAGAATTGGCCTACAGTAGGAGAAACGTTTTAGTGACATCTACTTTACATGAACGTGATGCCCTGGCAAATTCTAACTTCCCGGCGTTTTTGATCAGTTGCCGAAACGAAAAGATAACCTCGGTAATTACAAGGTCCTTTCACCAGAGATTCTCTAGAAATTTACGCAAATTCGTCAGCCTCCTGCTTGTGTGGCTGTGTCCCCGAAGTTTTCTGACAGTTTGCTGTGTCTGAAGTTCTCCTGGAATGGAGAGAAAATACTGCCTATGAGGTGGACCCCGGCACAATAGTAGACATGGATTTGTTTATTGCATGCCTAGTGCGTTTCCATGACAATGTCCTACAAGGAGAGCGCGCAGTCGACGTCAATATTCGTCTTAATCCGAAGGATTATATTGATAACTACCTCGCACATTTTAAATGGATAGCAAAGTATTTAAACCGCAATCTCTCCGTCAGTAGGGCAGTTACGTGTGGACTAAGCAGTAGTCTATATATTTATCAGTTATGCTTTATTAGTCGCTGTCTTTCATGCATGTTCGACCAAATAGGCTAATGTAAGGCATGAATGGACACGTTGTGTATAGCATACAGTAACATGAGCGGAGGGCATTTAAACTTCTAATGACGGAGTAGACCACGTGGTCACCGTCCAAGTCAGTTAAAAGCACCCAGACGATTTCGAACTCTGTGCTTTGTTGGAACTGAAAAGGAAGGCAAACATCAGCGTATCGGTAACCAAAAAACAAACAATTTTGCCATTTACAGAAAGGTCAGCATTCGCTGTAGGGTGCATCTTATTAGGTAGGCCAAACACGAAGGATAAAGGAAATCTTCTTGCCTTGAGTATTTCTTCCGTACCGACCCATATCTTAAGGGCCTTGTCTTACCTTATAAAAAGTCCCAAAACTAGACATATTCAGAATCGTGCAAGGTACTACTTAAGATTCCTGACACCGAACATCAGGAGCTGGTATAAAAGAAACGATTTCTGCAGAGCGAAAATCAGTTTGTCAATTTAAGATGAAGGGAAGGGAAAATTCGTAGAAACGTTCTGTCTCTCTAAGGCTCTGAATTACTCATCTTTTTCGGGCTGGCAGTTATGAATGACAATGTCAAGATGTGGTTTTTGGAGTAAGGACCCGAAGGGCAGTCAATACCGGGTCAATGCAATTTTATCGCGACATGACGATATAGATCCACTTAGTCCTCTCAAGCATCAACCCTGTATGAGTACCTACGTCCTGATTGATTGACCTTCATTTAAGCTTCGTGTTCGTGCGGGTAAAGACTGCCATCAAATTCCGCTGTTGTGGCACGTGTACTCGATGCGACAAAATTATCGTTAGTAATATTATTATGTCACCCTTTATAATATTTTATGTAAGTTTAAACAGGAGTCAAAACGGACGCCAGGAAGACTTGCGAGTAGACATTTAGATGAAAAGTGTCGTCAGATTGACTATGAGTAAATTCACTTTTAGGTATTCATCGACGAATATATCGTTTGATTAGCTAAGCGAACCTTAGGTTTCCACATCGCTCAGATATTCAAAAGACGGGACTGGAGATTGCACAAGATACAGCTGCTTGTCTCTAAGGAGATGTTCTTCGCCCCCTACTGTATTACACACTTTCTGTAGCCGAAATAGTAATCAAATTAGCGAAAGAAGGTCTGTCAGGATATAGGAAAATAAAGACCGAAATGGGATCGATTTTTGGTATAATTAATTAATCAATTAGGTCACATTATGGTCTTGGACGGCTTTACAATTATGAAGCCGTCCATGAGCGATTGATCGCCCGTAGAAATATGCAACGTCTATGGAGAGCCATTTGTATAGCCTCGGCTTGTTAGCCTGCTGTAGACAAAATTGGATCATTTATAGAGAGCGGACTCAGTGCACGTGCATACGACTTACGGTCGAGTTTTGTGGTAACTTTTGTTAGCACTTACAGTATATTGCTATAGCAATGTAGTGCTACGATATTGCTACAGATATAAGCCCAAAGTATGTGTCCCATATTTTTGGAAGATATTAAGGGACCAGACATACAAACAAACTAGTTGGTAATGGTCTGAGTCCAAAGGACTGCTCGAATGTCTA